TTGGGACTCGTGGCTCCCCGTTTCGGTTGTTCGGGGTGGACTTGAGGACGTTTGGAGACGCCTGTCCGATCACGGGCCCCCATGGCAAAGCATCCGAGGTCCTTTTTCAGCGTGCGTAGCCACGGCGCTACGGCTTGGCATCAAGTTTCAGGGGCTCCAGTGGACGCACCCGTTGATTGGCACCTTCTCCCCCCTCGACCTCTCTCCTCGGACCCTTGGGCCGGCGTTGGATCGGGTGGTGGGCGGGTGGATTTGGGACAGGGTTGCCGACCGCTTGGAGCTTCCCGAGGCCCGCGGAGGCCTGTTTCTGCATCCAATCAAGCAAGCCATCCGCAGTAAGAAGTGCTCGGCCCAAGGGGCCGCGCATTTGAGGAGCGTTGTTGCGGGCGGACAGTGGCCCCAGCAGCGCCAGCATGACGCCAGTCTCTCGTCGGAGTTTTTGCGTCGTGCATGCCTTCATGCAGCAGGCGCGCTGTCACGCAGGCATCTCTCCTGTGGCTTCACTGAGGAAGTGGTCGGTTTGCTGCTGCGTGCGTCGATCCTCTTCCCCTCCTCCTCGCTGAGAGGCTGCTCGCGCCGCTTGCTCCCCTTCCTGCTGCCCCGAGGCCTCCTGGACTCTGGCTCCTGGGGCACGGGGCCCTGCAGGGCCATGTCTTTCTGGGCGGGAGCCTGAGGGGCTCCGAGTTTGATGTCGATCATCGTGGCCTGGGCTGGTCTTGCGTTCAAGTTTCCGAGCAGTCGTTTCGAGCGGAGGCCATCTATGCCGGCTCTTTCGGGCACCCCGCCGTCGACGTAGACGCTCTCGAGCTGATGTTTTTTTTATATATTTTAAAATAAAAAAAAAAGAAAAAAAAATAATAATAAAAAAAAAAAAAAAAAAAAAAAAAAAAAAAAAAAAAAAAAAAAAAAAAAAAAAAAAAAAAAAAAAAAAAAAAAAAAAAAAAAAAAACGCGCGCTGTGCGCATCCCTGCCTGGCACCACGTCCTACAGTGACTCCAGTTTTGTAGTGGACGGGGTCCTTGAGAGAGGCCCCGCCAAGTGCTGCTCTGCGAAATCCAGTTGGGCCGAGCTCTGGCGCATGGTGTGGCACAAAATCGACGACTGGGGTGGGGTGAGTGGGCTGGGTGGGCTTGTGAAAGTCAAAGGCCGCACCACTCGCGCCTCGGTCTCGAGCGATGCCTCCGCCTTCCACAAGGCAGGCAATGACTTAGCCGACGAGTGCGCCAGGCAGGCTTCCGCTTTCTCTCGCCTCCCGCTGGAGCTGCGTGGGCAGCGCGAGCAGAAAGCAGCCGTCCTTCGAACGTATGCCGCCTGGGTGGCTCGTGTAGGGCCAGCTTTGGTGGCGTCCGACTCGCTTCATATCAGTGAGGACCAGCGTAAGCGTGCGGCGAAACCTCACGCCCCGCTGCTGCAGGTTCTCCCACCCGAGCCGCCCAGCACCCCGCGCACCTTGAGGTGTGCTGACGCGGCTACGGTCCGCATCGCCCTTGCGGGCCAGAGAGCTCATGTAATTCATCCCTTCCAGCTTGCAGAGGCTGGCAAGTGGGGGGTTGTCTGTGCCGTGTGCGGCGCTGCGGGCCTGGGCTCGCCTCCTGCGCTATTTTCCCCGTGTCGAGGTCAGCCAGCACCTCTCTCCTGGGGTGCGCGTGTGTTTGCTAACTTGGCACGTGGAAGGTACCAGGCGAATAAGAAGTGGCTTACGCTCGTCCAGCCCTGGCGCACTGCCGAGCTGGTGCGAGCTGGCGAGACTTCCACGTCTCGCTTGCATCCAGCGGTGGTGCTTGACCCCGCTGGCCTGACTGACGAGGCTGGCTGACCTGTCCCGACTGGCTGTGGCACGCGGTCCGCCCTCGGGGCGCGCATGTCATGACTAGAGGGGGCAGGACTGTCTGCTTCGCATCGCCCCTCGTGCCATCCGCCGAGGTCATTTAATGTAGGGCGCTCAGGATAACCTGTGCGCCAAGCAGCGTTGAGGAGGAGGAGAAGGCGAAGCAACGAAGAGGAGGAGGAGGAGGAGAAAGAGGAGGAGGATGAGGAGGAGGAGTAGAATGAGAAGGAGGAGGAGGAAGAGGAAGACGAGCGAGGAGGATGAAGAGGAGGCGTGCGGAGGAGGACGAGGACGAGGTAGGGGAGGAGGATGAGGAGGATGGGTGGATGGCCAGATGGATGATGGTGAGGAAGATGGGAAGTAGCGAGCAGCCAGGAGCGAGGCGCAAGGAGCCAGGAGGCAGGGGAGGAGGAGGAGGAAGAGGAGGAGCAGGAGGAGGAGGAAGAAAGGAGGAGGAGGAGGAAGAGGGGCAAGAGGAGGAGGAGCGAGGATGTAGGATGTAGAAACGCGGAGCGAGTTGCGAGGAGCGGGAGGCGGAGGAGGAAGATGAGGAAGAGGAAGAGGTGGCGAAGGAGCGGTGAGCGCCAAGCGATGCGCAGGGACAAGGAGGAGAAGCATGAGGAGCAGGAGGGTATTGATGATGGTGATGGCGGTGATGATGACGATGATGACGATGCTGATAATGATGATGATAATGATGATGATGACGTTGATTTTGGTGATGATGACGATGGGGGTGATGGTGATGGTGATGGTGATGTTGGTGGTGATGCTGTTGACGATGACGATGATGATGAGAATGATGAAGATGACGGTGATAATGACGGTGACATTGTTGATGGTGATGTTGCTGATGATGATGATGCTGATGGTGTTGATGGTGATGACGATGATGGTGTTGATGATGATGAGTGTGATGGTGATGGTGATGATGTTGGTGATGATGACGATGCCAATGATAGTGCTGATGATGATACTGATGATGATGGTGGTGTTGATGATGATGGTGATGGTGGTGGTGGTGAGTAGGATGATGGTGATGGTGATGATGGTGATGGTGATGGTGGTGCGGATGATGCTGATGATGATGACGAGGACGATGATGATGATGCTGTCGATGGTGCTGGTGGTGATGAGGATGGTGCCAGTGATGGTGTTGTTGATGATGATGATGTTGGTGATGGTGGTGGTGGTGATGACGATGATGGCGATTGTGATGATGGTTATGGTGGTGATGGTGGTGGTGATTGTGGTGATGTTGATGGTGGTGATGATGATACTGATGAGGATCACGGCGATGATGATGATGCTGATGATGATGATGATGATGCTGTTGCTGCAAGTGATAATGACGATGATGATGATGACGGTGACGACGACGAGGAGGAGGAGGTGGATGGAGCGAGCATCCAGGGGCGAGGAGCGCGGAGAAGGAGGATTCTGATGATGGTGATGGCGGTGATTATGACGATGATGATAGTATGTTGATGCTGATGCTGATGGTGATGGTGCTGATGATGGTGGTGATGGTGATGGTGATGGTGATGATGGTGGTGGTGATGATGACGATGATGATGATGATCATGATGATGATGGTGATCATGATGATGACACTGCTGATGATGATGACGGTGTTGATGATGATGATGATGATGATCATCATCATGAGTGTGATGGTGATGGTGATGCTGATGGTGGTGATGACGATGCCAATGACGGTGCTGATGTGATACTGATGATGATGGTGGTGCTGATGATGATGGTGAAAGTGGTGGTGGTGAGTAGGATGATGATGACGATGATGGTGATAGTGATGATGTTGATGGTGATGGTGATGCGGATGATGATGTTGATGATGATGATGACGACGATGACGATGGTGATGGTGATGCTTTTGGTGGTGTTGGTGGGGATGATGATGATGCCGGTGATGATGTTGTTGATGATGATGTTGGTGATGGTGGTGGTGATGACGGTGCTGGTGATGTTGATGATGATGATGATGATGATGGTTATGGTGGTGATGGTGATGGTGATTGTGATGGTGATGATGGTGGTGACGATTATGGTGGTGATGATGGTGATACTGATGATGATGACGATGATGATGATGGTGCTGTTGATGCTGATGATGCCGATGATGATGATGATGATGAAGACGACGACGACGAGGAGGAGGAGCAGGAGGAGGAGGAGGAGGATGGAGCGAGCATCCTGGAGCGAGGAGCGAGGAGCGAGGAGGCGGGGGAGGAGGAGGACGAGGACGAGGACGAGGACGAGGAGGACGAGAAGCGAGGAGCGAGGAGCGAGGTGCGAGCAGAGAGGATCGAAGGAACGACAAGCGAGACGGAGGTGGAGGGATCACGAGGATTAGGAGAAGGAGGAGGTGGAGGAGGAGAAAAAGGAGCGAGCGCGGAGGAGGAGGAGGAGGAGAAGGAGGAGGAGCGAGGCGCGAAGATCGAGAGGGAAGAGCGAGGAGGATGAGGAGGATGAGGAGGAGGCGGAGGAGGTGGATGAGGAGGAGGAGGTAGAGGAGCGAGCGAGAGGAGCGAGCGAGGAGGATGAGCGATGAGGAGGAGTGAGTAGGACAAGGAGCAGCAGCAGGAGGGGCGAGGATCAGCGAGGAGCAGCGATGACGAGCGAGGAGGAGCGAGGAGTCGGAGCGAGGAGCGAGAATCGAGGAGGAGGAGGAGGAGAAGGAGGAGGAGCGAGGAGGAAGATGAGGAGGATAAAGAGAAGAGGAGGAGCGATGAGCGATAATCGAGGAGCGAGGGGGAGCGAGGAGCAGGGGGAGGAGGAGGAGCGAGGAGAAGCGCGGAGGAGGGTGATACTGAGCGATGAATAGGCGGATGAGAATGAGGAGGAGGAGGAAGCAGCAGCAGCAGCAGCGAGGAGGAGCAGCGATGAGGAGAAGCGAGGAGGAGGAGGACGAGGAGGAGCAAGAGCAGGAGGAGGAGGGGAAGAGGGGAAAGAAGAGGAGGAATAATGGGCAAGCCAGCGATCTGCTGCGCTGAAGGACATGCGCGTTCCGTCCCCGTGCTGAGCAGGTCTACCAATGGCACAACTTTCGACGATGTGCAGCCCTAGACAGCCCAAGACAGCCCCAAGAGCGCCCAAGCTACCGCCACGACGGCCTCAGGGAGGCCCAAGAGGGTCCCAAGACGGCCTCCGTAGTCAGTTTGGCTCAAGCCGTCGACGCGTCCAACCAGGCTTGCTCCACTCATCTGGGGCCCGTAAAGTCGCGCTCGTGGCGGTGCATCGCCAGCGGCGCGTTTTGGAATCCTCCCATGTGGTATTGCTGCTGCTACGTGCAGCCAGGGGGCGCTGTTTTGGGGCAGCTTTGTCTCTGTGAGAGAGTCGATGCAGCGCCCCCAGAGAGCTTATGGTCAGGGGGCCTGGTCGCGACAGACTAGACATCGGAGGTTTGCGCGAGACGTGCGCTGCTTCTGCATGTCCCCCGGGGATCTCACAAAGCAGATCACATCAGCAAGGGTATACGACGATCTTCTCCAGCTCTCTGCAGGCGAAGTCGCCATGTGGCACCGGGCTACGATCATACTTCGATTGGCAAAACTGAAACTTGACCCCTCGGAAGGGGGACAGACAGATGCGTGCAAGGATTTGTTGCGAATGGTACTGAATGATCTTCTGGATTGGAAGTCAAGCAGTCATGTCAAGAGTCGCCGGAAGAATCTGGACATTCGGGAGAACGGGTACAGTATTCAGGCAATGTTGTATATTTTCTTGGGCGCCTAGACCAGCATGGCGTTATTGCCGTCGCTCTATCCAAAGAGGAGCGGGCCCTTCTACTTGAGCATGCGACCATTGCTGTGCTGGAAGTTTTGCCAGACTTGCTGCAGGAGCAGAAGCCAGATCATTTGGCTCAAATCGTGCTTGGTCTGAGGCTTGCGAACCGAAACCTCCAGACAGATGATAGATTCAAGACTTCTGCTCTCCGTTTCTCGGACATTCTCCACGACTGCAAGCAGCAATTTGACGTTGCTGTCGTCAACGTTCTCACCGCGCACTCCTGTTATATGATGCCAGACCCTGCAAACGTGAACATGTTTGTGAGCCTGAAGGACATTGCTCGTGAGATCCCCGCCAGTGATCAATTTGGAGTTATACACATTTCTCGGGTTATATACAGAGCTAAACGAGGTATTCAACGATCTGTGATGGAAAGGTTGATCCGACATACTCATAGTATGTCCACGTAGCGAAGCGAAATACTTCTGACAAGCTTGGCATCAAAATGCGGTTGAGAAAGAGCCACAGTGCCATCGACATCGTGAGCATTGAGGGAGGCTTAGTGAGAATATGGAACAGACCCTACCCAAGTTGGAAAGTTCAAAGTGAGGGCCAGATCGTCAAAGCCAACAATGTCACCGGTGATGCCAGATTGGTTCTGAGAGAGATCAATTGCAGGAATCATGCTATGTTGACAGTACGTCGTGGACGGCTAAGCTTGGCACAGAGCACTCGCACCACCAAACTGCCAGAGCGGTTAGATCTAGATGCAGTGAAGGATAAGAGATTAATGCAAGGTCTCATGAACAAGTACATCGAGGCATGCCGAATCCATCATTTTACGTGGAGGTCCGTTACTCAAGCGTTGTCTAGTGTTGTCTTGCTTGATATGGACTGCCAGCGGTTTTGCGAATCTGTGTCTCCACTCGTTGAGAAAGCAATTCCAAAGTAGCCCAGCCTTCCTGCTATTCATATGCTTTGGTGGTTGAGCTTGAAGAGCGTGTTCAACGATGAACGCATTATCAATGCTTTTTCCGACTTAATTCTCGTGCTCTGGCGCCAGAACAGAATTCAAGCGCCCAAGAGTGAAGCCCCTGCCATTCTTAATGTGTTGAAGATGTTAGGTTTGGGCGCCACATCAGAGGTTGTTGCAACATTTAGGCGGGCGGCTCAGCAGGATGGTATCACTGACCAGGAGTTTGATTGCCACCATGACCAGATGCACCTCATGATGTTCGGGGACAGGGAGGGAGGAGACTAGCTATTCTCCCTGATGTGAACCGCGAGCTTCCTGGCCCAAGACATACGCCTCCCATCTCCCCTTCCCTCATCCCTGCTGTCGACCCATATGATCTGTCCCCATCTCCCCCTCCCCGCCCCCTCTCCCCCTACCTCCCCCCGATCGGTGCCCTCCGGGGATTTTGATTTCGGCGTCGTTTGCCTGCCAGTACGCAGTGGGCCGCGCGCACGGCGGCGCTGGGCCGGGACACCGCTTGGTGCGCAGCGAGACGCTGTGTGCGGAGCACGTGTCAGTCCTCATCCACCGTCCATGTCTCTTCGTCCTCTTTCTTTCTCATCTTCCTCTTCTTTCTCCTCCTCCTCCTCCTCCTCCTCCTCCTCCTCCTGCTCCTCCTCCTCCTCCTCCTCCCCCTCCCCCTCCTCCTCTCCACATGATGTCCTGTCTATCCGTCTAAGCAATGTTCGATCGTCTTGGCAACTGCCTGTGTCGAGATGGCTTTTCCGCATTGGTGGTCATGCAGCGATGCTCTCGTTCGCTGTGTGACTGCCGCGCGAGGCTTCGGGAGTTGGGGTGCTGGCTCCACCAGCTCTCAGCTTTTCTTGTTCAGGCGTCGGCGGCCAGAGACGAGCCATGCGCCCTACGTCCAGTTCGGTCTCGTCTGCACCAGATCGCTGTTGCGGACCCCCTCCTTGGTGGCTGGCCCCACCTGTGCAGCTGGGGGTCGGCCTCCAGTGGAGGCGTGGGCGGTGCCCTGCACCCCTCAGGGAGGACTCGCCATCTCGCTGCGGCATCGCGGCAGCATCCGCGTCGATGTCAAAGAGGAGAGGGGGCCCAAGACGGCCCGAGAGCGCTCAGAGAGGGCCCAGGAATGGCCTGAAGACGGCCGAAGAGGCCCTCCAGACGCTCCACGAGGCCTCCTAAAGGACGCCCAGCAGGCAAAAATCACCCCATTCCATTGGGGAAACTTTTATGTTTTGCATATATGTTACTTTGGTCTTCACAAGGTCCACGACGGCCCAAGAGGCCCCCAGATCGCTCCAAGACTGCACATGAGGCCCCAAAGACGGCCCAAGAGGGCTCCAAGATTGCCCAAGAAGGCCCCAAGACGGTCCAAAAGAGGCCTCAGAGGGCCCACGAGAGGGCCCCAAAATTGTCCATGCCCCCCGAGACAGCCCAAAAAAGGCCCCAGGACGACTCAAGATGGCTCAGAGGCGGCCCCAACGGAGCCCCCAGAGGACCCCCAAGAAAGCCCAGAGAGGCCGTATTCATTGATTGTCGCAAGGTTGATTGCTGGTTTTTGGAATGACGTGCCAAAGTCTTGACACCAACAGGGCTCCAAGACATTGAGCAAGCGATCTCGCGCCCTCACAGGATACGAGCGCTTTCGGTCCCCGTGCCAAGCAGGTCTCATGACCTTCGGCCCATCCCGCCACTGTGCCCGTGTTGTGGGTCTGAGGCTTCTTGGATGGTCGTCGGGATCCCGTCGAGGCCTCTCGGGGGGGCCTCTTTTGGGCCTCTTGGGGCCTCGTAGGGACCTCCTGCTTGGGGGGGCCTCTTGGGGTCTCCTGGGCGCCTTCGGAGCGGAAGGCTCAGATTTGTGGTTCGCGTTCCCCCTCTTGGACCCCCTCTTGGGGCTGTCTTGGGCCGTCTTGGGCGCCGTCTTGGGGCCATCTTGGGCCGTCTTGGGGCCCTCTTGGAAGCATCTGTGGCCGTCTTGGGGCGGTCTTGGGGGCCTCATGAGGCGTCTTGGAGCGTCGGAAGCTAGAGAAGTGTGAGTACCGCAATTGTGAGTACGACCTAAGGTGAAGCTCCCTATGGGGCAACGCCCGCATGCAGGCTGTGCCGCTGGGGCCTTCGGTGGAGCTCCCTGTGGGGCCACGAAAGTGTGCGGGGTGTGCCGAAACGGGAGGGTCGCCCAAATGCTGGCTGCACCACTGGGACCGTAGGTGGAGCTCCCTGTGGGGCCACGAGGCGTGAGAGGGGGTGCCGGAAAAAGTGGGAGTCGCTCACATGCGAACGGCGCCACTGGGGCCATAGGTAGAGCTGTCTTTGGGGCCACGAAGCGTGTGAGGGGTGTGCCGAAACGGGGATGGCGCCCACATGCGAACGGTGCCACTTCGGCCTTAGCTGGAGTTCCCTATGGGGCCACGAAACGTGTGAGGGGTGTGCCGAAACGGGGGTGACGCCCACATGCGAACGGTGCCCCTGGGGCCTTAGCCGGAGCTCCCTGTGGGGCCACGAAACGTGTGAGGAGTGTGCCGAAATGGGGGTGACGCCCATCCTCCTCGTCCTCCTCCTCCACCTCCTCTTCCCCCTCCTCCTTCTCTTCCTCCTCCTCCTCCTCCTCCTTCTCCTCCTCTCCTCCTTCTCCTCCTCCTTCTCCTCCTCCTCCTCCTCCTCCTCCTCCTCCTATCCTTACTTCCAACTCCTCCTCCTGCTCCTCCTCCTCCTCCTCCTCCTCCTTCCCCCTCCCCCTCCCCCTCACTCCTCCTCCTCCTGCACGGGAGCAGCCGTAGCCCCGAACCCCCAGCGCCGCGAGGAAGTCGCGGCGGGCGCTCGTGCCCAGCTGCTCGGACGCCGGAGACCCACACGGCTCGATCCAGCTCGGAAGTTGGTGTGCAGCGCAGATCAGGGGCAACGTTAGGGGGGGGGCATCGGCTCAGGGGAGACTATGTCGGGGCAACGTTTCGGGTTCGAGGTTCGAGGTTTTCTGGCGTCTTCGTCGGTACTCGGCGAGTTTCCAGCCTCGGGGTGCCTTCCAGCGGCTGCGGCTCGACGAGAGCGTTCCGGAGGTGCCTGGATCGTCCCGAGCGGCCGCCAATGACCCGAGTTGCGACTCGAAAACAGGACGAGGATCACGGGGGGGGGCATAGGCTCAGGGGGGAACGCATCGACCCCCAATCGCCCATTGATCGCCGACAGTCAGGCGATCGTACGTATGGATCAAGGGGGCGTGGATCAGCGACGGGTCCCGCTTCCATGGGAAGCCGCGGAGTTCCGCCGCCGAGCGAGGCGGCACCGGCCGCATTTTGGGGAGGGCAGCTCCCCCGACCTATGGATTTGGAGACCGTGCGCCACATCCATGGATCGCTAATCCCTGTTTGCGCGCCCCCGAGACGGGCCCGGCGAAGCGACTTGCGGCCACGTTCCGCTTGGGGAGAGGCTCGATCCAACTGACCGGGCAGCCCCCGCGGTGGCCGCGGCGGCACGACTCGGTGCGCGGAGCGCGCGGCCCAAACAGCGCGCGGCTTACGACCGCGCGGCCCAAGCGGCGCACGGAGCGCGCGGCCCAGGTGTCTCGCCGATCCCACGTCGGTGTTCTCCTTTCAGACGTGCAGTGCAGAGGCGGGGTCAAGGGCTCTGGGCATGGTGTATCACGTCGCGTGACGTGGTATTTCCTGTCCTGCTCCAGACGTCGGATATCAGAAAATCGGTTGGCCCGTTGTCGGTTCGAGCGCACACAACGGATACGAGTGTATGATGCTTTTTCGCAGGGTGACATTTGGATAGGCACAACGTTTGGTACGTATCTTCTGAGTCGCCAGATGTTCGTCTTAAGTGGCACCTGTTGAGCTACAGTCAAGACGCTTAAAGAAGGACCACTTCGGCGTCAGGAGGGACTCTGGTTTTCGGACTGCTCCTTAGATCTAGGTCGGGGAACCTCTTCGTGGCCGAGGCTCGCCGTGGCAATACAAGTTCCTTCGGTCCTTATTCAGCGCTCCTTGTGGCAGCACGATAACTGCACGCCGACGCGTCATTGTGCTCTTTTCTCCGCTGGGCTCTTCTGCCGTTCAGGTCGGGGCGCCCATGCAGCCGCAGCAGGGGCCCTTCTTCATGCCGATGCCCGTCCAGCAGCCCGTTCAGGTGCAGGGCTGGGCGGTGCCAGCGCCGCAGCAGATGCCCATGCAGCAGATGGCGCAGATGCCCGGGAGCTACCTGCAAGCCACGCCGGGCATGCCGCCGTGCTAGAGAAAAGCCCATGAGAGGGCAGGGGCCAGCGCCCCGCGATCGCCGAGCGACGTTCGGCGGGCAGAGGGACCGTAGAGCTTGGCCTCCTGCAGAGAGGCCCTGGAGAATAGACTGGTGTGAGAACGCTGGTCGGAAGGGCAGTTAGCAAGATGCAGCGGATTTCGATTTCAGCCCATGGCCCCAGAGTTGTAGACCCAGTCCGAAGGATTGGTTTTTCTGGATGGTCCTGGGGCCCAGAAGCAGCCCTTGGATGCCAAAGTGAGGGGGAAGCGCCGGGATTGGTAAGGTCCATGCGTCAAAGGTTTCCAGTGCCCGCCGAGTGTCAGGTTCGCCGCCGAGTGTCAACGTGATAGGAGGAGGGGAAAGAAGGTGAATTCTGCGGCTCCCTGTGCCCACCGACATTGGAAGAGTCCAGTGGCAGAAGCCCGTGCTGAGCGCAGTGCAGTGGTGTTTGCCCTGCCCGCGGCATGCTTCTCACGAGCGCCCGTCTCTGTCAGGCTGTGAAGATCAACTTGGGCGTCCTGTTGACCACTGTCTTGTGTTTACTTACTGTAGCCCCTTGCCGCCAATTAAGTCGACGTTTTGCACACAGCCGGTCTTCAGATCGGAAATTAGAGGGGAACTGAGGCCGCTTATCACCCGATCGGCAGCTGGCAGTACACAGTTATCTCGCCGTGCACGCTTAATTACCCAGCTTCCGCATGCAGCCACCATTTGACGACTTTGGCTCAGAGGCGTTTCACATCATGATTGCTATTGCTTCTTCTCGTACTCGCTCGTCATACCTCTTCGTTTTGTGCTCGGCATCCTCGTATCCTTTCCCTGTCCTCATGCTCCTTTCGTGCAGGCGTTGGGGGGCGTTGCCGTCGGTTGCGTCGCCCTCGTCATCTTGCCCATAATCAGTAGCATGGTGCGTGATGCACAGCAGCATGGAAAGTTAAGGTTGGGAGGCGGTAGCAGTTGGAGTATAGAGTATAAAGGCATGCGCATGGGAAATACATGGCTGAGTTGCGCCGTTTCGCTGGCTCCTTCGAAGACGAGGAAGGGAAAAGGAGAAAAGGATAACGAAAACGAGTCGGGAGTTTCCAGCCACGTTTCGGAGAGGGCGCGCCCTAACGACGAATTCGATCCGAGCGGCGGCGGAGACGATCTCGCGATTGCCCGAGGGAGCGAGCGTTTCAAACAGCACGGACAGATGCTCGGCCGATTGATCTACGACCAGCTGAGATGGCAGAGCAAAGAACAGGGGAGCGGAGGGCCACCTTGGCCCGCCGCTTGCGCGTTTGCCCTTCTGTGGCTGGCCAGACCCGCCCTCGCCACCTCGACCCACTCGCGCCGACCCTCACGCTGCACGTCCAGCCGTTTGCTGCGCCGTGGGGCGGTATACTTCCGCGCCGAGCAAGCCAGCGGGCGGGGGCGGAGCAGCCGGAGCCAGCGGGAGCGAAGGGCGACGGCCCAGCCAGCCAGGGGGGGGGGGGTCGGGGGCGTGGGGTCGAGGGGAGTACGCCTCTCTTCCTCTCCCAAGAGTACACCCCTCCTCCCACCCACCCTCTCATCCGCATCATCGCCCATCAGAGCCCATCCCTCGAGCTCCTCCCTTGTCCTCCGCGCTCCCGCTCCACATCCTCATCCTCTCTCCTCCTCCTCACCCGTGCTAGACCATGCCTCGCGCACTCTCTCGGGATCATTGCCCTGCTCGACATCCGACTCTTCGCAATAGAGAAGGAATCTACGGAATGATAAGGGATGGGAGGGACGGGTAGGACGTCAGATTATGACGCTTGCGCACCTAGCTCGTCCTCACCCTCTCTCCTCTCTCATCCACCACCCCCGCCCCGTCCTCCCCCTCATCTCCTCCCCCTCCCCCCTCGCTCCCCCAGGAGCGCCAGGGGCGGCGCAGGTCCCCTCGCGGCGCCTCGAGGGAGACGGCCGGGGTGTCTCGCTCCGACGCTTCGCGGGGCGAGGACGACGACGACGGCAGCGGCCGATGCCCGGCGGGCGCCCACCCCCCCTGCGAGCAGTGCCGGAGCGCTCGCATCGCCGCCGACGGCGGCGGCGGCGGCGATGGCGAAGGCGACGGCAGCGGCGGCGGCGGCCGCGGCAGCGACGGCGGCGGCCACGGCGGCGGTGGCGGCGGCGGCGGCGGGTGGCCGCGGCGGCGGTGGCGGTGGGAGAAGTGGGCGCCGAGGCCTGGCCCCGCTGGCGGACGACGGCGTCTACACCGCCGTGTGCGCCGCGGCGGCCTCCCAGGAGCGCGGCGCGCGAGGGCGGTCCTCGCCGGCGTCGCCGTCGTTTCGGGCGCTCGGGTTCGGGTTTATCCGTCGTCCGTCGACGTGGACCGTCGTCGTCGCCGACGTTGCCATCGTCGTCGTTGGTCGTCGGTCGTCGGTCGTCGTCGTCGTCGTCGTCGTCGTCGTCGTCGTCGTCGTCGTCGTCGTCGTCGTCGTCGTCTTCGTCGGCGTCGTCGTCGTCCGTTGCCCGCCGCCTCCTCCTCCTCCTCCTCCTCCTCTTCTTTCTCCTCTTCCGTTTTTTTCTTATAGCAAATTTCTCCTTGTCCGTGTCGCACCCCGAGGCCGGTCGAAAGGGCGGACCGGGCGTTTTGCGTGAGATTTCTTCACGATGTATGACCCTGGAGCTCAGAAATTGGCAACAGTTTAGCAGATGAAGGGCGGATGGTTTTCAAAATGTTGTTCTTCTCTGGGCGCCGCGCATATTGGTTGTGAAACTGTTCAAGAGCTTGACGGATTGAGGGCGATTTGTTGCTCCGAAGATGGTTCTCACGCTAGCGCCGCGCACACTCGTCTTACAAATATGGCAGAGCTTCACGGATTGAGTATCGCCGCTGCGCCGCGCACATTCGTTTTCTTGAAATTGGCAAGAGTGTCGCAGATAGTTGGCGGGTCTTTTTCCCCACATCCAAATTGGGGTTCTTGTTTTCTCTGGACACCCCGCGCAGGAACAGGAACCCACCATCATCATCAGCACTCATTCCTCACTCACTCACTCAGTCACTCATCATCCCTCACACACTCATTCACTCACTCACTCACTCACTCACTGACTCATCAGCGCTCACATATGATGATGAGTGTGCGCGTGAGAGAGTGTGATGATCATCGTCATCATCACCAGTCAGTCAGTCAGTCAGTCAGTCAGACACTCACTCACTCACTCACTCGCCTTGGGCCTCGTCTGTGAGTGAATTATGAGGAAGTCTCAGGCAGGAGCTCCCTCCCTATGGGGCCCGCGGATTATGTTACTAATCCGAGCGGGTCATCCAATTCCTTTAACTGTCGCCACTGTTGGGCTCTCGCGCTGCCAAAACGCCACTCCCAGGCCACATTCTGAATGCCCGGAGCCAACTGTAGGCCACTTCGTGTTCTTCGCGTTCCCAGAACACCACTCCCGGGCCACATTTTGAATGCCTGGAGCCAATTGCAGGCCACTTCGTGTTCTTAGTGTTCCCAAAACACCACTCCCGGGCCACATCCTGAATGTCCGGAGCCAACTGTAGGCCATTTTGTGTACGTCGTGTTCCCAAAGCGCTATTCCCGGCACGTATCCACTGGGCCGCACCCCTGTGCGTTTCCTCTGGGTCGCGTTCGGCACGTATCCGCTGGGACGCACCCCTGTGCGCTTCCACTGGGACGCACTCCTGTGCGCTTCCTCTGGGTCCCTGCGGAAGGCGCTCCTGGAGTTCGACAAGAGAGCGGTTTTGTCCAGGGCAGAAGCGAAGCAGCTCGCGGCAGAACTGGGTTTCGCGCTGCCCGTCTGAGCGCGGCTGCGCCCCGCTCGAAGCCCGCGGGGTTGTCCCAACGGCTTGGTCTTGCGCGCAAGCGGCTCGCGGGGTTGTCCCGACAGCCTGGCCCGCGGGGTTGTCCCAACGGCTGCGCGACGTGGCCATTAGAGAACGCGCCTGTGCTGGCCGAGGCGGCGACGGCGCCGAGGAAAACCGACATGCGCGCTCATGCAATGGAAAGGCGAGGAGGTGGCGGGGCGCGGAAAAAAAAACAGGAGGGCGAGGTCGGGGGCAACATAGGGAGCGGGGAAAGGGCCCGCGCCAGGGCGAGAAGAAATATATACGCAGAAGAGACAGTCAGGACGCCTCACCAACCACGAGGACGACGGTGAGGGCTGTTTTTCCAGATTCGCCCAGAGGATTATCATGCGGGGTTTTTCCGTCGGAGTAATTCGTTTCCAAAAAATGGTTGTCGCCTCAACCCCGCGCGCATTTGTTGAATGAGTCGCAAGAGCTTCACGGATTGAGGGCGGCTCGTGTTCAAAATGTGGTTCTCGTTTTGGTGTCGCGCGCACTCGTGTGAAACATGTGCCAGAGTTTCACGGCTCCACGGATCCCCATGGTCATCATGTCAGAATGGTTTTGTGGAAAGACTCCGTACTGTGAGGGCGCAACCGTTACGTTGATTCGCGGCGTTGAAGTCCCAGGAATTGCGTTACGGCGTGATTCAGGATCGTCAAAACGCAACAGTCAGGTTAATTCGTGGCGTCACAGTCCCGAGACTTGTGTTTTGGCATGCTTTAGGGTTTTCAAACGGTTGTTTCCCAACGGGGCAGTTTCCTCAGTGGAAACGAACCGTTGTGGTGGTTTATGAAAAGGGAGCTTGGAGGGAGGGTATATTCAAACATCGCTCTCGAGTTTTAGGTTTACACTGGCCCTCCTCCTCCTACTCCTCCTACGCCTTTCTTCCTCTTCCTCCTCTTCCTCTTTTTCCTCCTCCTCCAATTTCTTCTCCTTTTCCTCCGTAGCCGCCCTGGCTCGAGATCCAGTGATGCGAAGGGAATGCATGGTCCGCGTGGCTGGCCTCACCCGATCCCCACTGGCGAGTTGAGTTTCATTCTGGCCAGAGGTTCGCGACCTCACACATTCCAACACTTTCAAACGCAAGCTTTCTGCAGCCCGATGCCGGACCGGAGAGGCGGCGGCACGCCGCGCGGAGACACAACCACCCCGCGGTGCCCCAGACGCGTTGACGGCGGCAGTGACGATGGCAGCCAGCCGAGTCGTTCGGACGAACGGCAGGCCGGGGCGGGAACGACGACCAAGAGTTTGATAGCCGCCCTCCTGCTGGCAGCGGTGCTGGTGGGGGCGGCGGGCGCGGCCAAGACCCCTGGATGGGGCACTCGCTGCAGTCCATCTTCGACCAGCATCGTGACAGTTTTGTCGCCCAGGTCACAGCTGCAACCAAGAAGGACCTGTCCTCCTACATCGATTGGAAGTTCCCCAAGACGGTGGCCGACGTCTTGCAGTCCATGTTTGACAAGTTCGGCGAGCACATCCAGCAACGCCTGTGAGCAGGATGCGAGGATGGGTGTTTCGGAGTCTGCTCACCGGGACCACCAACGGACCAACAAGGTCTTGGAGGACCGCACGCGGGAGGTGGAGCGGGAGTTGGACCTCGCGCGGGGATTACGGCGCCCGTCTACTCAGCAGGCTGCGGACTGGTCCTGGCCTGTGGACACGACGCTCATGCTCGCAAGGGCTAAAGAGGACGCGGGCGTGACGCCGTCGCTGGCGCCTTCACAAAGAGGCTGGACGCCGCCAATCTCAAGCTGGAGGAAAACGTCATCCTGGATGGCGAGGCGCCGGGCTGCATCTTCAAGCACAGGTTCCAGGGCGCGGTGCACGCCGCGGAGAAGAAGGTGGCACTAACGTTGGCCGCCTTCCAGCTGCCGGAAGGTGGCTGGCGCAACTTCACCGTCGCCGTCGCGGGCGGCCGCACGACGCCTCTCTTCGTGGGGGTCGACAAAAACCAAAAGACATCGCCAGGCAAATGGCGAGTAAGAAGGTCAAAAGGATCATCGAGACGCG